CTCCCTCTCTTCTTCCCTTCCTCTCTTCCTCCCTTCCTCTCTCCCTCCCTCCCTCTCTCCCTTCTGTTTTTCCTGTTAGTAGGAGCCTGTTCAATGCCAAGTGCTAGAGCAGGCCCTGGAGATACAGCCTGCACAGTAGAACAGGCCTGGTTCCCACACTCCTTGTTGATAATGCCTATAAAGTCTATTTTTTAGGACCTGAGGAGATGGCTCAGTCAGTAACATGCTGGCCTCTCAAGCATGAGGACCTGAGTTCAATCCCCAACACCCATGAAAAAAGCCAGCCATAATGGCACACACAGGGAGGGCCCTGGGCTCGATGGCTCACTAGTCTAATTGACAGACTGCAGGCCAACGAGAAGCCCTGTCTCAAAAAGGAATGAAGGACATCCCTGAGGATGAAACCTGAGGTTCTCCTTTGACCTCTCCAAACACTCCCATCCTTACTACTTCCTACTTTTAAAAGAGGGATTTATTTTTCAAATAGTCTCATTCGTTTTGTAATGTGTGGGCTTGGTCCTCTGAGTAACAAACGCCAAGGCAGAATTAGACTTGCAAGATAAGCAAATACCAAGATAGAATTCGACTTGCAAGACAGTGCCTCTGAGAGAGCCTGAGACTACTAGATGCCTGGCATCACTCTGGAGCAACAGGAACAAAGCAGAGCAGAGCTCCAGTCTCTATTGCAGCCAAAGCAGCTTGGCCACAGAGTGAAGAACTTCAGCAAGAAGATGGCCCAGTGGCAGAGAGGCTGTGAAGGGTACAGTTGATTGTGGATAGAAAGCAGCTTAGCTGAGTGCTTGAAGATCTGGTAGTTTGTGAGCAATGAAGCCCATAGGCACTCCTGCTCCCAGTGAGATTCTAGTGAGGTGTAGTATAGGTGGGGGTTTCTGTCCCCCAAGCTGCTCCTAAGTAACCACACAGAGGCTTAAGGTTATTAAAAATGCTCAACCAATAGCCCAGGCTTGTTACTAGCTAATGCTTACATTTTAAATTAACCCATATTTCTTATCTACACTTTGCCATGAAACAGTAGTTATCCCTTCCCTGGGACTTATTTACAAATCACATCCATTTTTATTGGCTCTACTTGGATGCGGTTCCATTCCTATACCAGTTATTGTGACCAGTCTTCAGTGGCAGCAGTCACTGGAGAGATATGTAAGTTATCAAAGTGGCAAGAATAAGAGGCTGAGTACTCAGCCCTAAATGAAACATCTATCTCAACCCCCAAGCCCCACTCTACCATCGCCAAGGATCGGGGAACACAGTGGGAGACAAGGAGGATGGGGGAGAGAGCTGTGAGGACCTGTCTTCTGGACATGACACAACTATTCTCACGAGCTCACAGAAACTGAGGTGACCAAAATCCCAGCACCTACAGGGCAGACAGTCTCCAGCCCCCCCCCCTTACCAAAGACCTACTAGCAGCTGATAACTGCTTGGGGAGAGACAATCATCTTTATCCCAATACCCATGCACATTAGGGACCAGCACTAACTGGACTTAGTGGGTTATCAAACAATAGCATACAGTTTGGGTTGGAATATGTGCTGGAGAGTGTAAGAAGAGAGTTGGGGGATGAGGGGATAACTGTGATTGTATTTTATTGTATGCATGTGTGAAATTCTCAAGAGTAAGATTTTAGCTAATAATAATAATAATAGTAGCATTCTCTCTAATTGTCTAGGCTTCAGTCACACTGCCATACAACAGCCAAGGGTTGAATTGACCCCACCATAATTTTATGGATGGAGAATGTAGAGCTGGTAACAGCCCTGAGGGGAATCTTGCTGTGGTTATCAGAGGAAAATATGGAGGCTAAGCGACAAACAACAGGTGTCACTTATCTAAATGAAACTTTTAATAGCTTAGGCCATACACGGGTGGTGGTCGTGGAAGAGACAGATGGGAGGGACAATTGGGATCACAAGAATAAAAGCCAGAATTTCTCCAGCTGTATCCCCTCCTACAGTGTAGGACCTTTACCCTCTCAGCTCCTCACAATTGCTTGTAGGGTCTCTTAGTGAGGAATCACATGTGGACTGTTTGAACAGTTCATCTAGCTCTAAGTGGCATTCAGCGCCTGCGGCCCTCTCCATCCTTTGTCATGGCGGCCTGTGGTGTTTCTGTATCTGTCAAGACCAGTGCGGTTGCTAGGTTTCCAATGCTCTCCAGAGGCTGAAAAGACATTGCACGTGGCAGGAAGGACCAGCTCCCAAAGTGTCTCTCCCCACTTCTCCCAAAGGCTTGCACCCGAGGCCCATGCCCTCTGCTTCTACTTCTGGAACCCACTGATGAATGGAACCCAAGTGTTGTGTGTACGAGCAACAGGAGGGGCTATTAGAAACCATTGTTTGTGGTGGTAAAATCAAGGGTGTAGAAACAGGGGCAATATCTAGCTGGATGGTTGAGGAGATGAACTTGAGCTTGAGTTGATTGCCTGATGCATAACCCACAGTGACTCACCCAGAGCTGCTGGCCTAGTTAGGCAGGGTGTGGTGAGAGGGGTCATGCTTATTACCATGGAGATTTCAGTCAGACAGCCCTGTGAGTTGTCACATATTCTTCTTATAGCCCTCTTGTTCTAATTCCCTGGGGTGACAGCTGGCCATCAATGTTCAGGGGAGGGGGTTGTTGGGAACCATAAATTTTCTACACTGGGAGATTACTCTGCATTTGCAGGTTCAACCAAGAACAAATTGAAAATATTTTGAGAAAAAAATTAGCATTACATGCCCGAATCATTATTCCCTTAACAACATACAGTACAAATACTGTCTTCATAACACTTACATTGGGTCCCAATGTACTTAATACCCATATTAAGTAACTTAAGAGATGTTTTAACATACCCAGGATATGTGCAAATACTACACAGTTTTATATAAGAATCTTGAGAATAGGCAGAGTTTATTATTCACAGTGGTCCTTAGATTCACAAGCAACCATACATGCCTGGGAACCATGACAGCAGTGGACTTGGCTGGTCTCTTGGCCCTCTAGGTCATCTTCAGACAGTGCAAAGTTGATATTTTCATCACAGTGTCTAATACTGAGTGACTGCCATGTGCTAAGCCAAGTGTTACAGACTTAGCATGTATTGTCTCCTCTGTTGGGGGTCAAGGGCTATTACTACCCATAATTAACAGATGAGGTCAAGTACAGCAAAGAAATGTTTAGTAAACATAGCTGTGCATGACCAGACTTTTGTGTGCCTCAATCACTGGTACACTCTCCAGCTGTGATGCAGTCTCGGTACCTGCTTTAGCAGTTATCCAATACACATTTTTCTTTAGGTAGACAGTGACGTAATGCATACGTGCAGTTCTAGCACACAAGAGGCAGGAAAAGAATGATGAAGGGCCAAGACCAGACTTTGCTACATAGTGAGATTGAGAACAGCCAGAGGCACATGAGGCCCTATTTCAAGTGTGTGTGTGTGTGTGTGTGTGTGTGTGTGTGTGTGTGTGTGTGTATAATTCAACAATGTTTTGAATTGATGGATGATACTGTGGAGGTTGCGTGGTCTCTCTGATCAGTACCATGGCACCATGTTCCAGCCTCTGGGTATCCTGGTTGCTAAAGCTTCCAGCTGACTTCTCTCCAGTAGTCTCTGCTAGAAGGTTCCATCTCTCCCCAAGGATTGCACCCAAGATTGGTCTGTGCGAGAATGAAAAGCTCCATCCCAGTTTGGGAAGACTGAGTTCCATCTGAGGGTCACTGAGCTGGACACCGCAGGACAGCAGTTCTGCCTCTCCTCCATCTGATTCAGCTGCCCTTTCCCCTCACAGGTGTCTTCACTGTCGAGACTCCTCGTAGACACTGTGTGTACACTCCACTGAGTCCAGTTCCCTGGGATGTGCTCTGGGCCCATTCTGATGGCTCTCGCTTACGGTATGATCTCCACACTCTGGATCTTCCTCTGAAACTATTTGAGGCTGCTTGCTCTAAATTGTGATTTTCAAAAGCTGTGTGAGCCTTGTGGGAAGCTGAATGCTCAGGGAGTAGCCACCTCTCTCTTAGCTGCTGTCACTGAGGCTGCAGATCCAGGCTCCCCCTGTGTCTGTGGGATGAATCTCTTGTCCCATTACCCAGTGTCTACTCCTGTCTAGCTCACAGTGGTAATATGCCCATTAAGAATAAGACCACTACCAATTTTTGAGTGAAAGTTGAAGCAAGCTTTAATTAGACACTTGCCAAGATGATTGACTCTGGCCAGGACCATTCCAAGATTCCCATTTGGTGATGAGTGACATTTTGCAAGGGCTTATAAAGGCAAACCCATAAGGCTACATATTTCCCACCATGCCTAATCAGGGACAAGCATATATCCTTAGGTACTGCCTGCCTGTGGACATCCTGCCTACATGTGATCAAACACAGCCTATGCATTTGGGTCAACCAAACTTGATTAGAGATCAAAAACCCAAGGCTTGCTATTTTATATCAACAACAGCCTCTAGCGTTTTAGGAAGTATCTGTCCTTGGGCAAGTGGGCTTACAGGTTAGAGACAGCTTTGTTTTATAGATCTCTCAGACACAGTAGTTAAAGCTTAAAACATAATAGTAACCTAAGACATGAAAAGTGATGTTGATTCCCTATGGAGGCTCTCAGGAGCAGCACCATAGCCTTACATGACGATGGCCTCTTAGCTGTTAGTTCCGTCTCTCCTTCCGGCAAAGTGAGAACCCTTGACAATCTTTCTCTCTCTCTCTCTCTCTCTCTCTCTCTCTCTCTCTCTCTCTATCTATCTATCTATCTATCTCTATCTCTCTCTCCTTCCTGCCTGTTGTTGAGGCCCCTCGGTTCCTCTGTAAATTCTCCTGAATCTCCATTTCTTTTGCCTTCCTCAACCACCCACCAAGCTCTGCAAATATTGACTATGTTGTGGCAGGGAGCCGGGAAGTGTATGCTATGGGAAGAGATATTGACTTACAGAGAAAACACACAGAAAATGTCTTCGCTGCTTACAGCAGAGGAGTTAGGAAGTCACACATCTGTCATCTTTGCTTATTGATTTGTAAAAATGGAGATTCTTTGTTAAACTGATAAGATGATTAATTTAATAGTGAGTGCATGTAGAGCAGTTAGCACGGAGTACTTCACTAACGACACCAATGACAGTGAGGAGGCTTTTTATGCTCAGTTCAAAACTACTATGCAGTGCTCTGGTTGCTGGGACTCTGCAGGTCACATCTCTGTTTGCTCAGCTGTGTCCCATCCCTCCACCCCTACGGGGTGGGGGGGCTCTGTTGATGGGGAGACCAGAAGACTATGAGGTGGAGGAAGGAAGAGGGTCCTGCTCTTCTCCTGTGGGCTCAGTCAGCCTCTTCCCATGAGTGTCACCTCAACCATGTTCCCTCCATCTCTTGCTGGAGCATCTTCTGAATCTAGTTGGAAGTTTTCCTCTCACTTGCAGGACCACCTTCATGGCACCTTCCATGTACCAGGGTACTGTTACCCCATCCTCAGGGGCCCTAGGTTACTCTCCCAATTCCCTACCCCACCACCCCACTTCTGGGGCAACAATTGCTTCCTGCAGCCTCTATTGCTACTATTCTTTAGTGTAATTTTTAATGGGGTCAGTTACCTCATCAGCCTCTTATCTAGAGTTTTAGGGTTTCTATTGCTGTGAAGAGACACCACCACCATGGCAATTCTTACTAAGGAAAACATTCAGTTGGGGCTGGCTTACAGTTCAGAGGTTTAGTCCGTTGTCATCATGGAAAGAAGCATGACAGCATTCAGGCAGACATGGTGCTGGAGATTAGCTGAGAGTTCTACATCTGCATCAGCAGGAAGCAGGAAGAAAGGGAGACACTGGACCTGGCTTGAGTATCTGAGACCTCAAAGCCTGCCTCTAGTTACACATGTTTTTCAATAAGACCATATCTACTCCAACAAGGCCACACCTCCTAATAGTGCCACTCCCTAATGACCTTTCAGCCCTTGTCATTCCAACTACCATGTAAAAAGAGGTGGAGCCTCTCTGTCCCAACTGCCCAGTTCCAAATAACCACACAAAAGATTATATTAATTTAAAAATGTTTTGCGTATAGCTCAGGCTTATTATTAACTAGCTCTTATAACTTAAATTAACCCATTTCTATTAATCTACATTTTGCCACATGGCTCATGGTTTTACCTGTCCTCTACCACACCTTGTTCCTCTGATGGCTGGCTCATCCCTCACTCCACCCTTCCTCTCTGTATTTTCAGTTTGGCTTTCCCACCTAGCCTTATTCTGCCTCACTATAGTCCAAATCAGCTTTATTATCAACCAATGAGAGAAATACATATTCATAAAGTACAGAAGGATTATTCTACAGCACTACCACACTTAGTTAGCATGTTTTAAGTACTTAATTCTCACTGCTCAGAGAACTGGTCTATATTTTGTCTCCTGATTGGACCCTAACAGGTTCGTTATATAAGTGAAAAAAATGGTTCACATTGGTTCAGAATTTCCCCAAGGTCACAGAGTTTGTAAGGTATCTATTGGGCATTTAAGTCAAGTCTGCCTGATACGAGAACTGATGGCAGCTGAGAACAATCAGAAAGCTTTCATTCCAGGGGACTCCCATCTTCTCATCTTTCTGGCCTCACCCATTGAGCCCCATCATATGTTCCACCCACCACCCCGAAGCTTAGAACTATGGGGAAAGTCATAGCTGCAGTGTTGTGACAGTGTCCACAATATCTAGGTTCTTCCCAAAAATCTATTTGAGAAAATGATCTGAACCAACTTCTGAATTTTTCATCAAGTAAAATCATAAATTAGTTATAAAGGGATATAAAATTATCTTCATGGAAATGAATTCTCCATGCCTGTCCCAGAATTCTGTGAGAGGAAGAAAAAAACAAAACAACCCCACAACAAAAAAAAACTTAAAAATTTTAATTTCACTTGTATTTTTAAGAATCTCACAGAATACTTTTCAATGGAAGACAGGTGGTTAAAGAGAATAAGAGGATGGAGCTGAAAGACCCTTGGAGGCTCAGGCCCCCAGGATCTCGGCCCAGGACGGCGGCCACACCAATCACCATGTGGAGGTGAAAGCTTGATGCAAACTGCAAGAGGTTTTATTGTAGTTTTTTAACAAGCTAACCCCATGTTAGCTCGGTCTAGGAAAGATGGCGAGAAGCCACCATAGAGATCTTATAGGGCAGCGTAAGGGGAGTGTCTAGGGGTATGCACAGGCTCAGGATTGGTGTGCCTCCAGGCTTGCCCTGTGTTGTTTGGTCAACTGGTTTTGTTATGGCCCATAGGCCCTCCCAGAGTGGTTGCTATGCTCTGGAAATCATTGCTGTGCACTTGTCCATAAAGCACACCTAGAGCCGTAAAGCATAGCACCACCAGCTAACTTCTGATTGGTTCCTTGCCACAAGGCAGGCATCTGACCTCCTAGTGACCAAGACAAGGTCAGGCAAGCACGTGTTCAGCTGTTAATGGCTGCCGAAATGGGGAGCTGGTCCCTTCAGAGAAAAGGAGAAATCTTTCACACTGAACAAGGAAGAACCACTCATCCTTAAGATGTGAAGCCCACATTGCAACTGACTGGGGGAAAGGCACAGTGACATTGCTGGGAAGCTGGCCAAAGCAGGGACAATTGCTGAAATTTTAAAACATTTGCGCAGAATAGTTCTGGAACTCAAATTTCTTTATAGTGCCATAAAGATATAATTTTCTCATGTGAAGGATCTTACACCGTCTGTTAGCAGAAAATTCCATTTTTATTGTAAGGAGTATCTAATTGGAAATGTTGTCTCAGAGGAAAAAAAACAAGTGAGTTGTTAAATAATCATTGTCAAAAAATAATGAGTAATGTCAGTAGATGAGTGGAAAAGCCTACACAACATGTTTATAAAAACAGAGGACACTATCCAACTCTCGGGTCATTTCCAAGGAATGAGGGCAGAGTTCTCATTGCAGGCGGTGACATGGGGCTATTCTTATGATTCTCTACTAAGAAAAACAAAATCAAGTACACACAAAAAAGTCCTTTTCACAAGTTTGAAGAATCAAGGCCACATAATTTTTGTGTTGCCAAAAAGAATGTTCCTAGGGGGGAAACAATCACTGACAAATGTAATTTTTATATAAAAACTGATGTTCAGAATTATGCCTGAGTTCAATATTCAGAATTTATTAAATAGTAAATGTCAAATAAATGCCAAGAGAAGTAAATATTCTTCTCAGCCTCATGCTTCTTGTTGGGATGCTTCACCCAGCCCACTCCTCTCATTCCAGACCCCGCCCCTGAGAAAGCCTGCCATCAGTGGCTCCTTCTCTTGAGATGCTTAAGACCACACCTACAGGGTACTTAAGTCCCAGCCCATAGATTTGCCATGTGCTCTCTTTCCTGCCTCCCTGAGAGTCACCTGGGAGTGCTCTGCTTTGCTTTCTTCTGTTTATTATATCTAGATTTATTAATTCAGTTAGATTTGGCTTATTGCATCAGTGGAGGAACCCGATTATCAGGAGCCAATACTTACCACTTCTCTTCTCTCTACTATGCCAGCATCTTACTTTTTCATTGACCGATTCTATTTCTTGGAGGGTCTTGTGGTGTGTACTGTTTACATACTACTACATTTTAAAGACAGAGAAATGACAGGATTTGATGATCCTTTTGTCAACCTGACAGCTTCCTCCTGTACACCTTTTGCAATGTTTTGAGTGACTATTATGGAAAGCCTTGTTAGTTTTGAAAGACCCCCGGAAAGCTCAGGCATCCAGGATCTCAGCCCAGGACCTTGGCCACCCCAATCACCATGTGGAGTTGAAAGCTTGATGCAAACTGCAGGAGGCTTTATTGTTGTTTAACGAGCTAACCCCATGTTAGCTCGGGTCTTTCATCCATCCACCATGGAGGATGGCTACAAAAGACAGCTTGAAGAGTCTGCATAGAGATCTTATAGGGCAGCTTAAGGGGAGTGTCTAGGGGTACGCACAGGCTCAGGATTGGTGTGCCTCCAGGCTTGGAGGGTTTGCCCTGTGTTGATTGGTCAACTGGTTGTTATGGCCCATTGGCCCTCCCAGGGTGGTTGCTATGCTCTGTGCGTCATTGCTGTGCACTTGTCCGTAAAGCACACCCAGGGTCATAAAGCATAGTGCCACCAGCTAACTTCTGATTGGTTTCTTCTCACGAGGCAGGCATCTGACTTCCTAGTGACCAAGGGAAGGTCAGACAAGCATGTGTTTGGCTGTTATGGCTGCTGAAATGGGGAGCTGGTCCCTTCAGGTTCAGTTGTACAGTAGTGGGGATTGAACCCAGGACCTCACAGATGCTCAGCAAAATCTATACCCCTGAGCTATCAGAAACAAAAGCAGAAGGAAGTCAGTAGTTGCAAGATAGTATCCTGGACAAGACAACAGATCTGTTTAGAGACTTGGCTAGGTGACCTTGAAGCTGTGTCTTTTGTAATGGAGATTGGTAAGCAGTGAAATGGCAGAAAGTGTGTATGTGGGTGGGGCAGGGTGGGGGTGGAGCGTCAGAGAACAAGTGTGGAGGCCCAGAGCATCATGGGAATCATGACTAGGCTAGGTTTCAGTGTTGAAGGAAGGAAGGAAGGAAGGAAAGAGGGAAGGAAGGAAGGAAGGAAGGAAGGAAGGAAGGAAGGAAGGAAGGAAGGAAAGAAGGAAGGATGGAAGGAAGGAAGGAAGGAAGGCCGAGGCTCTGCAGTGCTGCCTCATGGAAGGTGTGCAAGTGGCTTCCTCCAGGGAGAGGGCTTCTGGGAAAGAAGAGTGGATTATCTCATTAAGAGGATAGCTAATCCTCCATTATCTGTAAAAGTCTTCAGGTGACTCATTTCCTGGAGGATGGAATCTCGGCTGGGAGATTGATAGGCCCGGCTAAATTAACTCCTTTTTCTTTTCTTTTTCTTGTTTTAAAGGAACAGTCTCACCATGTAGCCCTGATTGTCCTGGCACTCAGTATGAACATCAGGCTGACCCTGAACTCACAGAGGTCTGTCTATCCCTGCCAGGATTAAAGGTGTGCATCACTATGTGTGGTCTGAATTAACTCTTAAAAGGTGGAGACAACACTGTACATAATGTTTCTGGCTCGAGGTAGGAGTAGAACTTACATTGCATTCTTTTGTCCTGGAGGAACTAGCTTCACTTTAATGGGCCTCAACAAAACACAGACACCTCCACCTTTTCATATGGTCTTTTAAATTCTGAGGTGAGGCAGAGCTGTCACCAGGGAAATGGAGAGGGCCTCCAGAGCTACACTACTGCAGTAGCCTACAACTCTAAAGAGCAGCCATAAAATCTAAAGATTTGGTACTATGTGAGCATAAAAGTGCAAGTACATATACATAATGTTGTTAGACCCCCCAGAAAACTCAGACCTCTGGGGTCTCAGCCCAGGACCACGGTCACCCCAATCACCAGGCAGACTCCAAAGCTTGCTGCAAACTGCATGAGGCTTTATTGTTGTTTAACGACCCCATGTTAGCTCGGGTCTTTCATCCACCCTCTATGGGAGATGGCTAGGAAAGACAGCTCTAAGTGTCTGCATAGAGATCGTGTAGGGCAATGTAAGGGGAGTGTTTAGGGGTACGCACAGGCTCAGGATTGGCGTGCCTCCAGGCTTGGAGGGTTTGCCCTGTGTTGATTGGTCAACTGGTTGTTATGGCCTATAGGCCCTCCCAGGTGGTTGCTCTGCTCTGCTCTGCTCATCATTGCTGTGCACACCGTAAAGCACACCCAGAGCCATAAAGCATAGCGCCACCAGCTAACTTCTGATTGGTTCCTTGCCACGAGGCAAGCACCTAACCTCTTAGTGACCAAGGCAAGGTCATGGCGAGCACGTGTTACTGTCATGGCTGCCGAAATGGGGAGCTGGTCCCTTCAATGTGTATATACACAGTCACATGCAAAGATAGAGTTTATTTACTTATTTTTTACTATAAATATGAGACCTTTGATGACACAGACAGAACCTAACCTGTATACTGACAAGGTGTTAATAAGGCTAAGCAGGCACTAACAGCTTGTTTCCGTTTTAATTTTTGTTATTTATGTTTATGTTTATGGGTGTGTAGGTCTGTATACCACTTGGTTCCTGCAAAGGCCAGAAGAGGGCATCAGATATGCTGGTACTGAAGTTACAGACAGATGTAAGCAGCCATGTAGGTGCTGAGCCTCAAACCCAGGTCCTCTGGAAGAGCAGCAGGCGCTCTTAACCACTCAGCTGTCTCTCCTTTAGTTTTAATTGGACAAGATAAGAATCTTGAAAAAACCCAGGGTGTTTTTGTTTGTTTACTTGTTTGTAGGAAGCCGGTTCCTGCATTATAATGCTGCCTGAAGACACCAAGGTGTGAATTACTTCACAGGCGCTGGGTAATCTCCATTCCTTTGATCTCTGCCTATCCCGTGGCTCATTTTAGCCTGAGGAGCTAAAGCCATTCATAGGGTAATACGTCCCAGGCAGCTGGTCAGGGATGGTTTTCTTGGTTCAATGTCTCTGCTCAGTCTCTGCTCAGTCTCTGCTCAGTCTCTGCTCAGTCTCTGCTCAGTCTCTGCTCAGTCTCTGCTCAGTCTCTGCTCAGTCTCTGCTCAGTCTCTGCTCAGTCTAATGCATTAAAGCTTGTCTGCAGAAGGATCCGAGTGTCCTGCGTGTATTTCTTGCTGGCGAGGAATACAGAGCGGGCGCGGGACACTTGTTTTGTTTTGTTGTTTTCTTGGTTGCTGTGTTTTAGGCAAGGTCTTACTAAGTAGCCCTGGTTGGTCTGAAAATTGCTATGTAGTTCAGGCTAGACTTGAACTCAGAGATCAGCATGACTTGGCCTCCAGAGTGCTGGGAGTAAAAGCATATACTGAGAGAGCCAAAGTTACATCTTAAGTTTTAATTACAGTGCCTAAGAGATCCATGAGACAAAAAAGAAAAAAGAAAAAGAAAAAGAAAAAAAAAAAGCCTCTGTAAGCCCCTTGCCCAAAGACAGACAGTTCCTGAAGTTCTGGAGGCTTTGGGAGATAGCAAGTCACATGTTTCACTCCCCTAAAACAAGTTTGTTTGACCCATCTGCACTGGATGTGTTCAATCACTTATGGACAGGAGGTTTACAGACAGGAAATATGGCAGGATGTATGCTTGCCCCTGGACTGGACCTGATGGGGAATACTTAAGCTGCTGCAAACCATGACTCGGGACCATTTCTGGAAACCCAGAGATGAACCTAGCCAGAGCCCACCTTATGGGGGAAGTACTTCTGTGTATGTTATTTTATTGATTGTTGAATAAAATACTGTTTGGCCAATAAGAGAGCAAGTTAGACGGGACTAGAAATCAAAGAGGATTCTGGGAAATGTAGTACAGAAGTGGTGATCCAGGCAGGAAGTGACATAGCAAGGAGACTCATATTTAAGCAAAGGAGAAACAGGAAGGGCCCCTTTTTCCCCTCCGCTCCTACTCCAGCGGCACAATGTGATCCACTAGCAAGGAGGGACGCCAATAAGGCGTCCTATAAGATAAGTCTTATAACATATATAGATTTATGATAGTTAAGACTGAGCTGGCAGATGAGGAATCCTAGTCATTGGCCAAGCAGCTTTGAACCTAATACAAGTTTCTGTGTATTCATTTGGGCCTAACTTGGGTGGGCGTCTGGCGTGAAGCTCACACGTGGTGGTGGGGCTCAGGCGGCATTTGGCGGAAAGATTTATCGTAACACCCACCCACCTATCCAGTATTTAATTAAAGCTTGCTTCAAATTAGGCTTTAAATTGTGGTAGTGGTCTTATTCCTGATTGGTGGGATTAACATACTACCAAGCCTGGCTTGAAAACCCTGGCCTTGAAAGAAAAGAGCACTAGGATAGAGATGGTTCTTTTTGTGTGTGTGTGATTTTGGCGGCTATCCTGGAACTAGCTCTTGTAGACCAGGCTGGTCTCAAACTAACAGAGATCCGCCTACCTCTGCCTCCCCAGTGCTGGGATTAAAGGCGTGAGTCATCACCGCCTGTCTTAGAGATGGTTCTTATCTCTTCATGTTACCTTAAAAGTAATCCTAGGGACAGGAGTAATTAGCTATTACTATCTTAATACTTAAGAGCATAGCCATTTTCTCATAAATAGTAAGTGAATGAAAATGCAGACATGACCAATCCTAGTATGGTAGAGGAGACAGTTTTTATTGTAGATCTGCAGGGAAAGTGCAGCCAGAGGCCACGAGAAGAGAGGGACTGGGGCGGGTGAGAGAGAAGAAGAGGAAAGAGGGAGCAGAGAGAGCACTAGGGAACCAAGAGGTCAAGAGGGGAACCAAGAACCAAGAGAGTCAAAATGGTTGAGGTTATATAGGAAAGAGAAGCCTGGGGGAAGGTAAGGGAAGCTCAGGGGGATGGAGAGGTTTATGGTGGGGGCGGGGTGAGAAGTATTGGGAGGAGCAACTGAGTGATGCTGGGAGAGCTGGCCAGCTTCCCCTTTGATATATTAATAGGCCCCTCAGCCATTAGGGCTTGGATTGTTTGAGACCTAATAGTAAATTTACCTAGATTTTCAAAGCAGTTAGGATGTGACAGAGCAGAATTGTCAGTTTCACTTGTCACACTTAGGAAAAGGGAATGTCAACTGAGGAGTTGCTTGTGGCCAGGTCTGTGGGGCATTTTCTTGATTGCTGGTTGATGGAGGAGGGCCCAGCTCACTGTGGGGACTGCTGTCTTGAGGCAGGTGGGCCTGGACTGTAAAAGAAAGGTGCTGAGAGAACCAGTAAGTAGAGTTCCTGTGCGGCCTCTGCTTGAGTTCCGGCCTTGGCCTCCCTAGTGATGGACTGTCCCGCGCGGTGTATTTTCTCGGCCGGCAAGAAATACACGCAGGACACTCGGATCCTTCTGCAGATAAGCTTTTAATGCATCTTGAGAGTGGAGAGAGAGCATAAGCTTACCAGAGCGGAGACACTGAACTAACAATCCCTTTCCTTAAATAGGCTGGCAAGCAGCCGCCTGGGACGTGTTACCCTATGAATGGCTTCAGCTCCTCAGGCCAAATGAGCCACGGGATAGGCAGAGATCAAAGGAATGGAGATTACCCAGCGCCTGTGAAGTAATTTACATCTTGGTGTCTTTAGGCACCATTATTGTAATGGATAATACAGGAACCGGCTCCCTACAATGGACGGTAACCTTAGATGGCAACCTGTAAGTCAAAGTGCCTTCCCCAAATTGCTTTAAGAAAAGAAAGAAAGAAAGATTTGGCTAGGTGGTGGTGGTGTAAACTGCAGCACTCACCTTTAATCCCAACACTCGGGAGGCAGAGGCATGCGGGTCTCTCGAGTTCAAGGGCAGCCTGGTCTGTAGAGCGAGTTCCAGGACAGCCAGAGCTGTTACAGAGAAACCCTGTTTCTCGAGAAACAAAACAAAACAGTGTATCATCCAGCAGCCAGGAGAGGGCGCCAGATACCCTGGAGTTGGAGTTACAGGCAGCTGTAGACTGTCCAACATGGGTGCTAGGAACTGAGTTGGGTACTCTAGAAGGATAGCAAAAGTGCTTAACTGCTTAACTATCTCTGCGATCATTGAGAGCTAGGCAGCCACCCAGGCTGAGAACTGGGCTCAGGCAGCCAGAATCTTCCCCTGGTCAGCAGTGTAACCTGTATCTTCAGCATCCTAATGGGGGAGGTACCTGGTCATGATCACTTGGCAGGGGTTGATCCTGTAGTCACCATCATCTCCTTACACAAGGGCAGCTTCTGCCTACCCTCAGATAGCTGATGTTGGGAAAAGTCATTAACTGTCTGCTGGGTGGCCTTCTTGAGGGTGACTAAAGTCAGGTTCATAGTCCGTTAAGTCATTTTGTTGTTTCTTCGGCTGTGTCTTAGCCAGCCTGATAGGGAACAAGTGGGTGACCCTGGTTAGCCCACTGACGCCAACATCGATGAGCTCAGTCTGCAGGCTGAGCTGCTTTACCTGCGGTTTAGCCCACAGCTCAACAGGCAGAACAGAAGGCTGACCCAGGGCAAGCTGATGTGGGGAGAGGGTAGCTGGTGATTGGAGGATAGGACATCCTCAAAGGATTTTCAAGGCTCCTGGCACTGTGCTTTGTCTCGGTGTTGCTTGTCGCCCCAGTGCAATGTCCACTTGTGGGCTTTTAGTCTTGTTAATAAAAGGATCCATCAATGGACTGGGAAGGAAACTCAAGGACAATTTTATTATTAGAGTCTGAGAGAAAAACAAGAGGTCAGGCAAGCTGTAAATCTCAGCAGCGGCCTGGAATAGGGAGAAGGAAGAGGAAAGGAGGAAGGAAGGAAGAGAAGGGGAGGAGGAGGGGAGGAAGAGAGAGGGGAATGGGAGGGAGTGTGGAGACATCTTGCTTCTACAAATAAAGCCTGTCTGAAGGTCAGAGAATGGAGCTTGCCACTAGCTAACCGTAGAGGTCTGGAGGT